AAAAAAAAAACAAAAGAAAATAAAATAAAGAAAACTGAAAAGTTTTGTTCTTCGTTATTGGTGCTTAAGTTCCTTCAGTGGTCTCATAAAATATTCAAATAATATTAAAGAAAAGGGAAAACAAAAAAATTTTATTTATAATATAATAAAATTTTAAATCAACAGTTTTCAGTTTTTAGTCCCTTCGAAACCGAGTAATTAATGTGAAAATCGCTTTGATGAGTATGCTCGGATTGGTTTACTTAATCTTAATTCTAGGCTGGATTTTAATTGTACTCTTTCTGAAATGTAAAAAATCCATAACACCGCATATAGGCTTAACTGACAGTTACACAGATCAAATGGGTGATAAAAATGAATCAAATCTTTGCATATACAGTTTATTTCACACTTTTTTTCTTTTTAGATCGTAGACGTCCTTCAATTCATATTATTCAATTGCCGCATGGCGAGTTAGAACGTGAAGATCGACTAATAGAACCAACACAATGTGAGAGCACAAGTTCAAGGCGGCACTCACAGCGTTTGCATTTAACCGCTGCTGATGAACACAGCATAGTAAGAACATATCCCACAGATGCCATAATAAATCCTGCTTACACACACGATGAAGAGTATGTAATCAATGGCGAAGGTAAGTATTAAAAAAAGAGATGCGAAGCGCACTTCAAATTAGTCGCGAGAAACTTGCGTACACAAAAGAAAGCCTCGGCATAAGGCGACTTTAATGCGTGTTAAATAAATGTTTTTTGACCAAAGAGGCAATAAAAGCCAAGTTCTCGAAGGGACAGATATTTCGCAGTCTAGGTGTGAAAGGGTTTTCTTTTCTAAAGATTTAATTACCCCATATAAAATATAATTATTTACTCTGCAACACGGCGACTGTCAGAAAGAAGTCATGAAAGACAAAGAGTTAAAGAGCGGCTGCCACACAGCACGCCACAGTGGTAAATGTCAAAAAAATCAAAATTGTCAACCATAAAGCAAATATGCGGATATATAATCTCCTCGCCCTCACCTTTATTAAATGCACGGACCATAGGCGGACGCACGTATCATTGATGACCTAGCTAGTTCGGGAGATATGGAATGTGTTAAATTTTTATCTCACGAATACTGCACAGACGATTACATCTAAAAGAAATACACCTACTTTACCCTTATATAGGTTGCGTGCTCAATCGACAAGTGCACACCCAGTTGCAACAAGAACGCTCTACTCAAACTTAATTTTAAGTGAACAGCGCAGTCATCTTTGCAAAGTTAAAATTACATGTTGGCACTCTGACCGGTCATTAGTCATAGCTAATTTTAAGATACGCCCTCTCTTCGTTACACTTATTGATTCTGCCTTTTTTCCAAACTGTTTTAAGCTTGGCTGATGGTATATTTGTACTTAATCTACAGATTGTAATTTTTAAGACATTTTGACGAAAATCGGATGTACTGATGTGTTTTGGACCAAGCAGGAATTGTGTTATATTGTTACATATTACGACATATAAATGGATTGTACCATTTTTATGGCCACTGCTCTAATAATACCTTATTTTCCAAATTCGCTTTGTCAAATTTTCAAAAATTGTGTCGGTTGAGCACAAAAAAGCGAGGCAGACAGACAGACCGACAAATGAAATTAGATCGATTCAAAAAGTGATTCTGAATGGTGGAAAAAGCGTTCCGATCGAACCCATTTTCAATAGCGTTTTTACTTGAGCCAAAAAACGTCAATATATCAAATTTCATCAAAATATTTCAAAAATTGTCGTCTGTCGACCATTAGAAACTAAATGCTTAGATCGATTTCGAAACGATAGTTTTAGTTGCTAATGCTCATTCTACTTATAATCTGAGAAATTTTTTTAGTAACAGATCGATTCTAAAAGTGAATTGTCGATGGATTAAGAATAAAAACTGGGACTAACTCAAGTGCTGAAGTATGCTCCCATGGATTGAAAAAAGAGAAGAGTGTCGCTGGAGAATAGTTTTATTGATAGAGAGGTCACTTGATCTACTTTTGGATCAAGGGAAACTCAATCGTAGTAGGGAAACATTTATTTAATGTAAAATATAGTTATATTAATTATTTCTACTTCATGGAGACGTGCAGTCAAATTGTAATAGCCAGCGAGTAGGACCTATGTCGGTGGCAGTCTTCACGCTAGGTGATGGATTTGTCTCACGAGTGTGTTTTGAAATCAGTTTCACCTATCTATCTGTTTCCTTTCGCAACAGAGTTTTCATAAAAAGATGATACCTCTCTTTTAACCTTATTTTGTTAGCCTCGTTAATGTTGCAACATTGATGCGTGAAGCGTTAAACTACAATATCTGACATTAATTATGTTACATACTTAACAGCGAAAATGAATCCTTTTCTTAACTTAATTGAGAATCGATCTAAGAGAATATTTATAATATTTTTCATTTTCATGTCGTTTCCAGCACCGCCACCATCATATGACGAGGTAATGCGGCAACCTGAGATATACCCGAAAGTGCATCAACCTAGTAAAAGCTCAGAAGCTAATATTTAGGTAGAATTGAAATAACGGGAGAATTTGAAATAATTATTAAAATTAGAAAAGAATAGAAATTGTAAGCAAAGATAAAAAAAATGGAAATATTTATGTATTAAGCTGTGATTGTCAAATATTTTATGACTCATATTTTAAATGACTTTTTTTTTTTTGTAAAAACATACGAGAATAGTAATAGTTTTTTAAAATGTAAATAATTCACTATATTTATGAATATTCTTGTAAAAATTAACATCAATAATACTTAAATAAACATTTTAGAAAAAAAAGGGGTGAAAATTTTATTACTTTTTCTAATTCGAAATTTACGAAAAATTTATACATTTCAATAAAGTAAAATAATTCTAAATAACAAAAAAAAAAAAAAAAAAAAAAAACGGAAAACATTAACAAAATTAACTTAAAATTTCAGTCTAAAGAAAATAATATTAATAATATTTAATACATATACAAAAATGTTATCTATGGTATTTCACATACATAATTATTGAGTTTTTTTTTTGTTCCTTGTTTTAAATTACATACATTACACAGTCGTCTATTTTGTAGTTATAAGAAACGAATTCCTTTCAAAAGAGATAGAAAAATTTAGAAAGAAAGAGAGACGGAAAATGGATGCGAGATAGACAGAGAGAGAGAGAGAGAGAGAGAGAGCGATAGAACGGAATTTAACTAAACTTTAAATTTATCCGAACTATGTATTTGTATATAAGGTTCGAGGATTTTCGGCACTAAGCCTTTGTAAGGAACACCATTCGCTACCACACATCGAGAGGCCAGGCATTTAAGTGACGTTAATGAATTCTGATAGTTTAGTATTAAATGGCTTAAGACACCTGAAAGTGAGCAGCGAAAGAAAGCATTGTTTTTAATAATTGTTTTAAGTATAAAATTTAATGATTATTATACCATTTCTACACAGTTTTGAAGGAGTTAAGCCTTGAGCATTAACAGCATCTAAATGGGCACCAGCTTCTACTAAAACCTTAAGACATTTTCCCGCTTGTGCTAGGCTGGAATTATCACGAGGTAGCTAAAATAAATAAATAAATAAAATATAATGTTTTTCTAACTCTATCGAAGAAAATTTCACCTTTGAGACTAAGGTGTGCAAAGGAGTATTTTGCCCATTATCAATGGCCATAACCGAAGCACCTAAATACACTAACAGCACGGCTGTGCGAAGACAGGGAAATCTTTGACATAAATAAATGTTCTTTTAGATAATTGTTGGTTTTATTTTTTTTTTTATTTTTTTTTAAATTATAACTTACTTGCACACGTCGTTGGTGTAAAAAAGATCTACAGGTGTCACTCCATTGACTGCTAAATGTAATAAGGTCTGTCCATCCGACATCCGAGTATCGCTTTTTATGAATTTTTTTATGGTCGAATACAATAAGTCAACTTGACTTTTGCTAATTTGGACTTGCTTTGGTAGAATTTTTGTTATAATTTTTATTAAATATAAAGCGGTTGTAATGTTTTGCTCATTGTGGTCCTAAAGGATAGATAAGAATGTAGAATTTTTAAAGAAAGACATATTACAAATTAAAGAAGAAATGCTTACAGCTATCATTTGTGGCACATCTTTCGGTCCGGGATTATTAATTTTTTCATTATTTCGTTCGATTTCCTGTTGACATTTAACTAGCACCGATAATACTTGATCTAAGTTTAAATTTTCATTTTCTAGTCGTAATATTTGCGAAAACAACTGAGCAAAACGTAAAAGATCACGTTCCACAGAGACCTAGCAAAGCAGAAGAATACATTCGATCATCATTCGATCTTTTTTTCTTTTTTTTTTTTCATTCATTTCTTCTACATACATTTGTCATAATACGTAAATCCATAGCATAATTCCAGAGGATTTGGCATTGCGCAAAACGTCCATGATCGGCCATTACTGCACCTCTATAAACTATAGGTTGTGGTAAATCGGGATTATTTCTACCTAATATACGTTCACGTATTGTTAAAGCTTCCATATGGATGGAATGATGATTTAGTCGTATAGCTTGCAGTTCTTGTATATTTTGCGTTTCAAACCATTCGTCGTATGCTGTAACAGGAGGTGTACATTGTTTACGTAATGTACGATCTTGTTCCGCATAACGTAATTCCATGGCTCGCATTAAATGCTGAAACGCTTTCTCAATACTATAGTTGTCTTTGTCATTGGCAAATGAAGCTCCCAGCAATTCTAAAGCATTTATAATCTAGCAAAGTAATTAATAAAAATTAATAAAAATTTATTTAACAAAGTTTAATTTATTTTTGTAGCACCTCATCTTTCTTCATTAGATCTGGACGTTCTATGAAAAAATCCACCAATTGTTCGTGAGTGCGTTCAGCCGCACTTAGGACGGGGGTCAGGCCATGTTCATTAGCCAACAAGCGTGCTCCATGATCAAGAAGCAGGCGACAAACTTCTAAATGACCGCATTCTGCAGCGTAATGTAAAGCGGTAGCTCCGCATAAAGCTTGATCATTTGGATTAGCCCCGTTTTTTAGCAGAGTGTAAACCTAAAATACACACACACACACAAATTCAGTATCAATTATTTGCGATTTTTAAATAAATTTTTTTTCTTTGCTACATACCACATGTTCATGACCCTTATAAGCAGCTATCATTATACAAGTGTTATTGTATTTATTACCCAAATTAATGTCAGCGCCATGTTCTATTAAATATTTAACGATATCTAAGCGTCCAGCGTAGCATGCGGCACGCAATGGCGATGACTGAGCCTTCGTATTATGATTGACATCTGCTCCACTTTGTACTAATAGCTTGACCACTTGTAAATGTCCAAGCCCAGATGCTACCCATAAAGCGGTAGCACCATAAACCACCAGACCATCGAAGACGACGTTGCACTCCTTTTCCATATCAATATCATATTGTGCGAGTAATGTTTTTACATAAGAAATATTACCAGCAATCGCGGCCATAGTAAGCGGTGTCAAGGATTGTCCATCGACTTCGTCGAATTTCTACGATTATAAAAAAAATACAAAGGAATTCTTCAATAAATCGCTCTATTATAACAAAAGTTAAAAGATGTAATCCCTATCAATTTCAGATCTATGAGTCTAGATGTCAACATTAAGAAAAAAGAAGGCTTAAGTGTAATTCGATGCCCAGATGTAAATGTTGAGTTACGTTTTATACCCAACGCCAGTTGTGCTACAAGGATATATGATGTTAGTGCAGATGTGTGCAACACCCGGAAGGACTTGAGATAGATTCATGTTTTATTGTACCGATCGATTGAGAAAGTGATTCTTCAAAATCCTCAGGTTGGGAAGTGATCCTGTTTCTAAGCTTGTCTGTCCGTCTTGTTTTCTTGTTTTCAACCTACATGTCTCAATTTTTGAGCTATTTTGGCGAAATTTCGTACACTTACGTGTTTGGCCCTAAGAAGGAATCCTATTGAAAATGAATCTGCTCGGATGAGTTTTTCGGCCAACCCCCAAAGAAAGATTTGTTTTGAAAATATGTTATATGAGTAACTGTCAGTGGAGGATAGCGTTTACAACATTTAAAATTCCCACTCATATATAGGGTAATAGTTTCAGTCAAATCTCAAATTTCAAATCTTATAAATTGTCTAAAAAAATTGCAGTTTGACCTTTAAATTAAAGAGATCGGGAATTGAAAACAGTAAGATAAATTTATAGATTTTCTAAATCCCTTTTCCCTTTTTCTAAGATGATTTTCAGTAATTTTTCCACTTATGGGTTTTGTCATTTAACAAAAGAAAAAAAAACTTTTTCGAAACATAGGATCACTTTCATGGAGTACTTCTTTCAATTAAAAAGAGTTTTTTTTCACTAAATCCTATCACTTGACTAAAAATTTCTGGCTTCTTATTACCCTTCTGGCTTGTTTTTCTAAAGAATTTTAATCATTATGCTGTTTGCAACTTTTTTATTTAGAATATAATTGCGACGCATGAGTTTCTCGAATAATATAATTCCTTTCCTGATTTGTGATTATCTACTTTCCCATTACATTGTCACTCTTTCAATAGGTTCAGTTTGAAAGCAGTTGACGCAGCCTGAAGAAATGCGAAATTTCATCAATTTATCATTTCGCAAAACTATATTAAAAAGTTAAAGATGAGCACCTAAATTTGTACCTAAAAAAATATTGAGCTTTTAATTGATTTTTTATTGCATTCATTCTCAATTGCTGCTTACATCGACTCTAGCGCTATCTCTGTTAGTTGTTAAGTTTTTTTTTTTTTTTGGGAGAAAGGAATAAGGAGAATATTTTGAAACAAGTAAAAGCACTATAATAGTGAGCCACTGCTCACCGTTGGATATTCGACAACCACTTCGTTTAATACAGTTATTGGTATAGCGACTTTTCGAAATAAGGTGCTATGAGGGTAGTGGTCGAAAAAGTGGTCTCATCCGAACCATTTTCAGTAGCCTTCGTTCTTGGGTCCAAAAATATCAATGTATCAAATTTCACCAAAATATCTCAAAATTTGCAACCTATAGGTGGAAGACAAGGAGACAAGACGGACGAACGGACGGACAGACAAATGTATACACAGGCTTAAATCGCTTTAGAATGCAATTGTTGCATATATCAGCACAAATTTAATATATTTTTGTACCACATATGGTGTAGGGTATAAATATACCATGAAAGTGTTCTTCCAATTAAGGCGCATTTCAATTATACTTTGTTTGTAAACAAACATTGAAAGAGCGAGCGAAAGATAACGGGAGAGAAAAACCAAAAACCGAGCGTAAACGAAAAAAAAAAGTTAAGAGAAATAAAAATTAGGAATATATTTTCATATAACGGTACAATTTTATTCGTTTGTTTGTAAATACTGCGATTGCATACAAAGGCATCTATGAGGGTAAACTTTATTACTGAAAATTTGCTAATAAGAAAACACATACACGCACACATAAGATAAAAGGGAAAAAAGACAACGCACTCACCGCCGGATAAGTTATGTATGAGGACAAGGGTGTCGTACTGGAACCTTTCCAAAACTCGGCTCCCGGCCAAGCTGAATTAAACCAACGTATACGGTTCCTATATATTATTTAAAGATAATTGTTTTTTTTTTTTTGAGTCAATGAATAAAATCACAAAAAATAAATAATTTTTATCAAAAGTTACCGATAAATTTCCGAAGACATTTGTTTTTTTCTTTTTTTTTTTTGTAAAAAGGGAAAATTCTTTTAAAGACAGAGAGTATGACTTAACATAAACGAATATTTCAGTAAACTATTTTAAAGAGTAAGAAGCACGAGCCTTATTTTTGACAGGATTCTACATTTTTTTTTTTTTTTCTTTTTATAATATCTGTGTGCAGTTTGTGTTAAGCACTCATAAAAAAACCTCCCTTATTTTATTATCAGTAAGTATCCAAACGAACATGAAACCATCTCGGCGGCATTGGCATGTGTTACACTCCGTATATACATATGCATTTCTTATCGAAAGAAGGGAAAAAACAACAACAAGAACAACAACGCAGCCAGATGTTATAAAATAAAAATTAACCTTTACTTTACCTTAACATATGACATACATAAATATGTTATATATATATATATATATATATATATATATATATATATATGTATATGTATACATATATATGTATACGAGAGAAAGAGAACGAGATGGAAAATAAAAATTACGGATTACCATAGCTCTTCAAAAAGCAATGAATTTTTTGTTAATCTTTTCCTTCAAGTGTAAAGTAAACGTTGTATTTTCACCACTAACGACGGCTCATCGATGCATTCTTTTAAAAAGCTTTGAAATTGTAAATGTATTTCATATGTCAGCTGTTGTTCTTGCTAAAGCATTTACTACATTTACTTAGTGTACTGTAAATTTTAACGCAGAAATGGAGAAATCACAAAAGTATTTTTAACAAAATTGTGAGGATTAACAACAGACATTGAATTTCTCTCGTTTATTTTATTAGAAAGGCAAAATTCGAAAGAGCTACAAAAGATCAATTGTCATTTTATGTAGAATTTTGCCAACAACATCCTGAACTTTTGGCTGGTAGAAGTCAACCACGTTCGATGTGGGTAATTCAGAATCTATGGAGAGATTTGGCTAAACAATTAAATGCAATGCGCGGACCAACAAGATCACCAACCAAATGGAGAGAAGTGATTTTATAAATTTATTGCTACTCATTCATTTTTTGCATTAACTATAATTTTTACACAGACGTTGGCGGTCTGGAAATGTCAATTGCGCACACGTGCCCGACTAAATCAGGGCGAGCTGCAGATGATTGGCGGTAGTTCAGAAAGTAGCCGGAATCTGTTTGAACTTGCTTTGAAGACTTTCGGGACTGATGCTTCTGGTATAGAGGTAAGCGAAAAATTGTTATACGGGTGTCTTTTTTTTTGCAGTCGTTATAAAATTTTTCTTAGGATTTACATGTCTTCGCTAACAGTTTCCCATGCTTGTTGCAATAAGGGTTGTTATTAAGTACATACAAGATAGCATTAGGGTGAGAACACAAACAACATTCTACAGAGACGACTGAAAAATCCTTTGTCCTTAACGAACAAAAATTTTCATGCAGGTGCCTTATTGGTTTTTTTATTTTTGCATAGTCGATATAATCTATTTCTCAGCATTTAGATATCATCGATAAAAGCATAGCGAATACAAGATAGCATTAAGGTGAGAATAGTAACAACACTCTACTGAGATGACTTAAAATTGGAATTATTTAACATTAAATCCAATGAGAGATGCCCTTAATAATAATATAAAAAATATATTTAATTAATGTAATATTTTTGTATCTAGCACTGCGATGTGAGTGAAACAAAACAAGTGATAGATACCGAAGTAACAAGAGACTTAGACGATTGTAATGACCCCCTTTTGGCACCGAGCGCGGACATTCGACCCGCTTCAGTAGTTAGTCTTGACTCTACATCTTCGTCGCAAGGAGCTGCAAGCTTTAAACCTGCATCCCCAGCAGAATCAATTTCCCTGCCACAAGGTGAAGCGCTTGATTTGATAATACGCCGTTTTAAGCGCACTGATGCTTTAGAAAAGCAAATACTCCAAGCCCAGCTTGCTACAGCGCAAGCAATTGATAAATTAAGTGATAGCCTATTAGTTTTAGCAAAAGCCATAGAAAAATTGGATAAATAATATAAATATTTTTTTGTTGCTTTGAGCAAAGCTTTTTAATGTAAAAAACTAAAAGTTGTTAGTTGAGTTCTATGACAACTTTATAGAATATTAGAAATGCATTTCAAGCCGAAGAATGTATTTCTTAAAAGCTTCCACTACCAGACTTACTTATAAATGAAATTGTTACAGAATCTCAGTGCGTAATCTAAATGAACTGATATCACTAATAATAAGAATAATATATTGAAATAATTTCCATAATTGGAAAGAACGTATATGTATAAAAATGCGAAATTATTGCTATTAAAAAATCAAAATTCATTCCTGATGAATTCCATAAGGTCTCAAACACAATACAATACCTACGCATGCGTTACGCGTCATCATATTCAAAAGTGTCGACTACGAAAACTACAGTTGAGTACAGCTTGCATCATTCCAACAAAGCACGTAGATGATTAACTTTTATCTTTGCTTAAAACAGTTGCATTGACAATCAAAAGAATGTTGTTTATGTAAACAAACGAAAATCATATGCTTGAATTTCAAGAGTCATGTGATCTGTGTGAGTCAGCAAATCACCGACAAATGATTCGCTATGTTGAGTATAAAATATATGAATTTCTATTCGGTTCGTAACATTATATTTTGTACGCGAAAGATGAAATGACTTTTCATATATATTTCGAACAACATTAATAGGTAATGAAAAACACGGTGCAACAGATAAAAAACGAAGAAACAGAACAAGTGGGGAAAATAAATTGGAATTAAAATTTTATCGCATATTGTGGCCATATTGATAAGCGTATAGCGACTATTATCGGATTGAAAGTGAAGTTAATCCTGACAAAAATATGGGTCACATGTTTTCAGAAATATCTTTAAGGGGTCAAAAAATATAGACAAAGGTATGGAAATGATGTCGGCATTTTTCCGACGTTGTTTCAGTTTCTTTCATGTCGCGGATGTGCACATAAACAGAGCACGGCCAATTTTTTTAATCTCACATGATTAATTAAAAAAAATAACGTACTCGTGAATTCTAGTGTTAAGAATATACATATTTGACACTGATATTGTTTATTTAATGCATAGCGTCGCTACCAAAAAGTGCGATACGTTTACATGCATTGTATTAGCGCTGTTGAGAAAGCAACCGCCAAAGCTTTTAAAAATCCACCACTAATTTCTATATCTTCAGCTGTTCTGTTGTTAATGTTTCTTATCGTCTGGTATCGGCGAACTAACAAAGAAAAAAGCTTATTCTCGTATGCACGCAATTTTTATACGCTTACTCTCGTATGCACGCAACTTTTATACAATTATTCTCACATTTTTCGAATTTTACGTTTACAGAAAAGCATGAAATCTTGACCAAAAGTAATTGTCAATATAATAACGATTTTAGACAATTGTGTTAAATAAACCAGCATGCAAATATCTGCACGTGCCTGAAAACTAGCAGTGAAAAATTTAAAAGGTTTTCTATTGGATATAAATATATATATTAAAAATGAACTACCCTTTATCTTGTATGCACATTTTAATCTTTAAGTTGCCAATTAACGGCTTGCGAATGTTAAAAATTGTTGCTGTAAAACATTTGCTTAAACCACAAGACATTGGTGAATATATTTTTCGCTTAAGAAGGTCATTGAAATTTATATATCTGCTATAGGAAATTTTTCGTATTCTTACTAGAAATCAACGGATAAAAAGTTTGCTTACAATCTTCTAATATCGACCTTTAAATTTGAAAAGATGGCAGAGAACCAATATTTGCTCTGCAGATCAAACGTTATCTGTAGGTGAGAGTTTAACTTCTCAATTAAAGTGGACCAATGGAATTTGTTCAAAAAATAACTTTTTGGCCCCATGAAGAGATGTACCTGAGAAGGACGATCAATTCTGCTAAGTTACCTGCTTATTTGTGATAAGAATTTATCAGAGATGCGTAAAGCTACAGCTCTTGGTTTCCTTAAGTTAGGGTGTTTAAAATTTTTTTATTTTTATTTCATTTTCATGAAATGAAATAATGATTTCTGTTTTTCTATGGTACCGACACTTTCAACATTAGTTTGATCAGATGAGAGTAAGAATTTAAAAGTTAATTACAATGCTCTCACAGCCTTGACATTATTTATTGTTTCTCTTCTACCTTGACCGTTGACTTCTAACAACGATGATGAATAGTCTTAAGATATTTGAAAAATGCACACAATAGTATCAAAAAAAAAAAGGAAAAAAAAAAATTAAATAAATCTGCTGCGTCACACAGATTGCAACCAAATTAAGTATTAATCACTAAAAGAAAAAGAAAAAATTTTTCTTAATAGCAAAAATCAAAAAACGAAAAGAAAGGAGAATCAATCGGAACTACAAATGAGTAAAAAGAAACGTATGTACTTACGTACGTGTCTTTAGATTTAATATTAAATGAGGCTAGATTGCTTTTGGCGGACAACAAAACATTTGTATAGCTGATTGAGAAGCTGCTGATGTTTTTCAACGAGCAAAGAAAAACAAAAGCACACAAAGAAGTAAAATACGCAGAAGAAAATTAAGTGGAAAAACATTTTTTATACTATAGGATATACGCCTGCCTCTGTGGATATATGCAAAATGTATTTTAGCCCATTGACTCACATCTTTATAAATGATGAATATTCTAGTAATTGCTGCAGATATACGTATGTGTATATATTTTTAAGTGTACAGAAAATAATTCCTTTCTTACATTTTTAAAGAGCTTTTTATGTTTTTCATACTCACCATATTCATCACATAGTTTCTTAGATCAGGATTAGGAATTTCATTCATAGCAGCTGCCAACTGCAAGGGATAATTCAATTTTGCCGACAAATAGATTGTGGTCATCAAGGAAACTGGAATTTTATCTTCCGGAAATAGCTGCCGGACTTCATAAGTTAGTTCGTCCAGCATCATGCCAGTTTCTCTATCTAGCACCTCTAATTTTTCCAATGTAGTACACATAAGTTGTTAAATAATTTGAATAATGTATGTGCAAGAGATTTTATTTTTTTTCTTGATAACAATAGTTGCACATCTAATAAACTGTATACAAATTATTTCGGTAATCACTAAGAATTTATTCAATTTTCACTTTATCTATCACAGAATTATTTGCCCGCACAATATTCGCGTTTGTTGCGTTTAACAATTTTTACCAAAATGTTTTGATTTAATAATAAAAACAGACCCCACATACTTAATTTTCTTACAAGAATAACAGCTGATATAAGCTTAGATGATTGGCAAATCGAAAAATCTTGCATTTCACTTCCATTCTGTCCCAATCTTATCGAAAATGTAGTAAAACTGAAATGCAATTTTTAAACGCCCTCTATAGCCCGCTTGAGGAATGATATGAAATTGGAAATAAGTGTAGTCTCTGCGAAACACTCTCAGAGTGAACTTTACTTTGCTGAGAAGTGTTTTTGACTTTTCTGAAAGAAGAAAGTACGGTAGCAATAAAATTTGGTATAAGGAATCTAAAATTACCAAACTTAAAATTTTTTTAAGATAGTCTGGTAGTTGAGACAAAATTGAATATCAAAAATTTAAAAAGCTCTAGTGGAATTAAGAAAAGTTTCATGTTAACTAACAAAGTTAGCTTGTATATGCAAAGATCTCACTGTATTTATAGTTACGAAGACGAGAAAATTTAGTGGGGGACTTTAATCTACAAAAACAAATTTGACATTTATATATCGGTGATTAAATATTGTTTGCCTGATCAGAACTTTTTTTTGTGAAATATTTTCTAAGCACTGTAGGTCGATATCACGGTGATTTATAAAATATAATTTTTCTCCTTCATTGTGCCAATTCGGACACTGAACGCGTTTTTCGAATATGTTGTATGCTAAATTTTTAAAATGTCAGTTTCTGATATTTTAGCGCAGATGCAAAAACTTATGAAACTTATCAGTTGCAATGATATCTGCGGCATTTCGTTTAACGGTAGAAGCCCAATTCACAAAACTTATTCGTTGCAATTCAATCATTTGGATTTTTTCTTCCAAATATATATGTTTACCTTTACAGGCTTTTTTTATTTTCACCTAGGTTAGTACTCCAAATTTATTGATGCCTTTAGTTTTTTCTATATTTATTTCTTCATTTTAACATTACAATTTGATCGAAATGTCAAAGCAAATTAATGTACAATTCGCAAATTAATATTTAAAATTAAATTCTTACTTTTTGAAGACGATTTACTTTCTGCATTGCTACCACTCCATTTTTTTAGTTTTATATTATTGACATAGAAAAATCTATTTTTAATTCCACTTTGTTATCTATCGGTTGACACTTTTTTAAAACTCAGGGCACCATATTTGATATTATCGAGTGTGTTAAGGAAAGTAAATTGGAAAATAATCGCTTCGGACAATTTACAGTTGACACTTTCAGCCACAATTTTCTAGTTCGTTTAATTTTATTAAAAGAATTGTGTTTTAATAATAAAATAAGAGGCCAAGTATTGCTGAGCGTCAATTTTCCAAAAAATTTCTTTTGCACAAGGTTATTCTTTGAAGAGAGGCTTCAGCAATATGGACGGTGAAGGCGGAGAAGCCGCAGAATTTTCTGTTGAACGTATCGAAGATAAACGCAAAAGAAATGGCAAAACTGAATATTTTTTGAAATGGGAAGGTTATCCCCGAAGTGATAACACATGGGAACCTGTTGAAAATCTTAACTGCCCTGATCTAATAGCGGCTTTTGAAGACTCGTTGAAAAATAAAAAAAAGACTAAGAAGCGCCCTTCTTCCGCTCCAAGTAATGAATCGAAAGTTAAACGGAAGGCGGTAGAAGATGAAAGAAACAGCCGCAAAACAGCAGGATTTGATCGCGGTTTAGAACCCTTAAAGATTTTAGGTGCTACAGATTCTTCAGGAGAACTAATGTTTCTCATGAAATGGAGTGGAAGTGACGAGGCTGACTTGGTGCCCGCAAAAGAGGCGAATACCATGTGTCCCCAAATTGTTATCCAATTTTACGAAGAACGAATCACTTGGTATACACCTGGATCTGACGATGATAAAAAAGAAGGCAACTCTGAGTGAATAAAATTTGTTTTAACCTTGTAAAATGAGCTTTAATATTATACGGTTTGCGTAATTTAATTCAAAATTTACACTTCAAATACGTGTATTTTAGATTATTTCACAAATTTATTCATCCTATAGATTTCCCCGAATACATCGCCTATTACGCCGACGTGACGCCAGCGTTCATAAAATCGGCGATGAACAGTAATGTAATCAGATGTCCGATAGTGGAACAGACCTACAAATTTATAAAGGCGGCTACAAGATTTGTGAACGTCTTCCATAGGAAGATAATCAACACGTCCACTTGGCCACAATTGAAAGGCACATTAAAAGAAGCGTACAAATACTTTCAAAAGTATTTAACAACAAAACAGTCGTCTATCGAGACAAGATTCACGATATTCAACTTCATAAAAATTGTTGACAAATTACTACGGGCTTACCTTGAAATTTCAATTGCAGGGTACAGGGTAAGCCAAGACGTAATAGAAAGGTTTATCTGCAATATAGCTCCAAATTACAGGAAGAGGAAAAGAACGGAACGCGAAATCCAAATCCCGGTACAGCGATTGATGACGAAGCAAAGAGAATATTGGAGGCAACAAGATGGAACCATCGGCGACTACGACCTCGTCGAAACATTGGATTACCGGATCCAAAAACAGGCCCAGCAAGAGTTTCGGCCACACCACTTGGATGGCGCAAAATACAAAAATATAACAACTCGCCCACGAACGCTACAGCATACCAGATACTTCAGATTGATGACAGGGTACGCTGTAGGAAAATATATAAGAGATGAAGTAAAGTGTCAATCACGCCACTTTTTCAGAATTTTTTCCCATTGACTTTAGTGTTGCTTGTGGCACTATTACGACTACTCGTCCTTTAACTGTGCTGGCCACCTTTGGCGCAAGTTCCTATGGAAGTCTTTTCTTCTATCGTTCTTACGTTTATTTTTAGGTCGGACTTGTACAAATACTCCTTTCCTTTACCTCTAATCTTTTCCGGCAGTCAACGTACTTTATTGGGTATTCTCTGTCGATCATATTGAAATTTTGTAAACTTCCTTCGTTTAATCCCGAGTTGTATAAACAGAAAATATCTGGCTTTTTGACTTTAGATACCACTTTTTATGTAACGAAGTACGTATCCCTACATTGGTGTTGCAACTCCAACTTGAATTAAGGAGCACTTCTTTGATGATCTTTGACGAATCCGATGTATTGAGATTAAATTATAAGTACCATTTAAATTTTTACAAAGGGACCTATACTGGTCAAGCTTTATTTAACACTAAGTTTCTTGAAGAACGATTACAGATAGAAGGCATGATGTAAGGCTTCGCTTCTCTAGTTAAGGAAGAACTAATCGTAGTAATCTATTCGCACACAGTGGTAAAGAGACTAAAGGCTCCCATCCCAAAGTCCTAAAAACAAAAAGCCCGAATTAATTCCCGACATCACCTAATGGAACAACATAAATCCTATTGGAAGGCGAGCACACAACCGAGTAATATTCTAGTACTGGCCTTAATACAAATTATATATAAATTTTTTGTACCCTACACCGTTTGTGGTATAGGGTGCATTAAATTAGTGTGGACGCATCTAGTACGCAGAAGGGCTTAAGGTAGAACTAAGCCTGTGTGTCCGCTTATTATCTGTAGATGGAAATTTGTGTTCAAGCTACAAGTCGCAATTTTTGGTATATTTTGATGAAATTTGTTTGTGTTTTGACCTCAGTACGAATGCTATTGACAATGGTTCGGATCGGTTCATTCTCCGTATAACGCCCTATTCTGAAAAGTTGTTATATGGAAAAAAAAAAATTCAATTTTCAAAATTTTCTGACAAAAGTGACTAACTTTGGACCGGCTGGAATAATGTTTGATTGGCCCCTCATATAACGGAAACTGAAATTCATACCACAAAAAGATATAATTTTGAAATATATCATAAGAATAAGTTAACATAAAAAAATTAGTTGTACCCTCTCGACCTATTTTTTGGATCCTTCTCTAATAAGGACTTTCATGCAAAGTGATCCTTTGTAGAGCGGAAAAGTAGTAGTGATGAAAATTGACCCATAATAGTAATTTCATACAAAAATAGGAATTGTGTAGACAATGTGGTGTAGAATTGTAGCAAGGGTTCCTGCCTGAAAGGCTTAACCCCACGGTGGCCCAAGCCACTTTAAGCGTACTACGCCCCCTGGCAAGTTAGACAATCCCCACAGAGTAGGGGCCTAAACTACACCAGAGTAAAGAACGGTTTATTGTGTATGGAACAATAAACCCCACTCTGGTCAGTGGTGAGGCCTAGCTGCACTCGACTGTTCCAGTTTGGCTAGGAACTTGCCAACCACAGCCACCACGAGTACTCCCCGAAGGGCCGCACCCAAGCAGTCAGGACTCACAAATTGATCAACGCTTGCTTCCGCCATAAGGCTTCCACTGCGCTGTTGATCAATTACCACCATTACCCGCAGGCATCCGTGACATATGTTCAAAAGTAAAAATAGACAAAAGGGTAAAAAGCCTTGCCGTCAAATCCCTTTTTTCATTTTTGCATGTATTAATTAATTAATTCTCGAGAGGGTTTTTTTAATAATCGGCCAAAGGGAAGGCCGTCCGTCAATTTTTGTATTATTATTATTCTTTAGAAAAAAAAAAAAAAAATTAATTTATTTCATTACGACTGTATGAACAAAGTCCATCATACACCCGCAGGCATACGTGGCTTTGTGAGGCGAGCCTCCTGACCCCCGTGGCTCCCAGTTTGTTTTACAAAGCCTTTGGCATACTTTGGGCGGATGTTAAAAACAACTTCGGATTCACCATACTTCCATGGTTGCCAACACCAGTGAACTACTTTTCTTCGAGATGTATAGGTCTCGGGTATTGCACTGACATGGCAGGGGCGATCTACCATGCACTCGCTGGATTACTACCTTCAACGTACTTAAAAACCATTCACAAGGTGGTGTAGGGTATATGCCCCACTATAATGTTCTTACTTGTTGTTACATGAGGATGATTAAATTCTCTCGACCACGTTTTGATAAAGCCAAGAGCCAAGAGTCCTTGTTTTATTTATGGTAAGATCAATATGTAAATTGAAATGTAATCCTTGATCGAAAGCAACCGCCTGGTCAATGAATGCCTCCGCATTTTTTAATCTTTCCCCGGGTAATGTGTTTGTTCTTGCGATTGCAAGCTGCTTACACAATTTTAAGTAGGGCTCTGTAAAGTTAAACAAGCACCATGCAGCCATATCGTCTAAACTACTTTGTAGGCCATACATATAAGTCCTGTTTGCACCTTGAACGAAGAATACATTCATACATTTGTATATAACTGGATTTAATCGCCCGATAGAAGATCATTGATATAAAGGATCATTGCTACAAAGGATAAACACATACATTTACGTTTGGGACCACATGATCCTATATGACTCAAAATATATTATAAAACCATTTAAAACCATTTGGGGAGAATGTCATTCGAAAAGAGTCTCCGACATCTAAATTCATCCTGCACACTTGCAGGATTGGGCATTTTTTTGCATTATCAATTTATTATATAAAAATGTTGGCTTACTTTTCTCCTAGGAATGTTTCCTATATATGCAATAAATAAGATGTTCCGCCAATCGTTTTGATTTTGGTCGCTTGCCATAAACGATTATCAAATTGTTTGTACACACATATATAACATTATATATTTATAGTGTAAATTGTGATAACTCATTGTTTATGTGTTGTAAATAAATTGGCATAAGCAACAGCACAATAATGATCGCATCATTAATTATAATCGTGCCAGTCCGGTTCGTCTGTGGTAGTGTGATGCAATAAATAGCTTAAAACGTTCAAAAAACCTACTTTTTCTTGGACAATTATGTAATCGTTTGTTTTATAAGAAAAACAACACAAAAAAAAAAAAAGAGAGAAAAACTCTGCAACTAACTATCATGAAATGAGGAAACAACACACACGGACACACACAGACACACACCAAGCACACAACTATTCACACTATTGCATAGTTGTGCCACTAAGTAGTTAAAGAAGCAGTTACTAACACATTTAGCCAGACATGGCGGAGATGCTTTGCAATGCTTGCTTGCTTGCTTGCTAGCATGCATTTGCATATGATTTATATTTTGAATTAAAAGCAAACTTTCACTGTTACTGCATGCACACTTCGCGGGGAATCAATTCTTAAGTGAAGTAAGAGAAGGAAAAGATGATTTTGTTTTTTTTTTTTTTTTTTTTACGAGTTACTCGGTTTTTGTTTTTCATGATTTCTTTATCTTTATATTACAAAGTACATACATTTAAATAGAATTGTTGTTTATTTATGTATGTGTAAATGTGTGTGGGTGTGTGTGGGTGTATTTGAAAAATCTGTACATACACATAATACTTAAACTATAATGTCAACTTGTATATAAATATCTCTATAGCAGGGGATATTAAACATTTAATGTAATAATTAATGAGAAAAACAAAAATTAATAACACATTTGGCTTTTGTTTACAAACGTCTCGAAACACGCCTAATAATATTTAATTGGATTATATATAGATTAGGTGTGTAAGTCGGCAATGAAGTAAAACATCAAAAGTAAGACTTCAAAGCCTTTCCTTCTACTCCTTAATTTTTTCTTACTCTTCCTCTTCCTCTTCCTCGTCCTCTTCCTCTTTATCTTCCTTCCAATTCCTTCTGTTTTGCTCCGCCTCTTCCTCCTCTTTAAATCTCTCTCTTCATTGATATATTATTCGCAATTCCTCAGTTGCGAATAATAATCGGAGATTTAGGTAGTTTTCTCCTCTTGACCATCCAGCTCAACGGTGTAGCGTGTGCAGCATAGCTTTTACTTTTTAGATGTTGTTGTTGATCATGCAAAAGCTTTATTGTCTATTTTCCACTTGTAATCGCGTTCTGTGTTGGCAGTGATAAACATATGATCCTTGTTGCTGTTGTTAATTGTATTATTATTGTTGTTGTTGTTGTTGCTGTTGTTGTTGTTGTTGTTGCTGTTGTTGTTATTATTGATAATTGCTGTTGCCTTTATTCTTCTTTTCAGAATGATGATAGATAGATTGCAAAGTTATTCAGTTCAAGTTATTGGAAAGCATTTTATTTATTTGTGTGAGTGATATTCGTGATGAGATTCTTCTTTATGTGGAAAGATTGGCACTTCAACGTGATATTTCTCTGGTATGGGTATCTCTTTATGCAAAGGCACTTTCACTTCCGAATAGACGGGATAGGGTTTCTCAATCGGCACTTTAACTTCATAGGGAACTGCTTTCTCAACGGTATAGGGGACTTTCTTCTCGACCGTGTAGGGTTGGGGCACTGGTACTTTTACATGTACCGGATAGGGTTTCTCCACTTCGACTTTGTATGGTTTATCAACGGGATATTTAACTTCATAAGGAACCTTCTTTTCAACTACCACCGGATATGGTTTCTCAACTTCGACCGGATATGGTTTAGGCACTTCAACGGGATAGGGTTTCTCAACGGGTACTTTAACTTCATAGGGTACCTTTTTGATGACTTCATATGGTTTAGGTACAGGTATTTCCACTTTGACTTCATAAGGTATTTTCTTAATCACTTCGTAGGGTTGTGGTACGGGCACCTTAACTTCATAAGGTATCTTCTTAATCACTTCGTAGGGTTGTGGTACGGACACCTTTACTTCGTAAGGTTTGTCCACTGGATATTTAACTTCATAAGGAACCTTTTTAATAACTTCATAAGGCTTAGGTACATGGACTGGAACTTTTACGTATTCCTTAACGTGGACAGGGACTTTCTTTTCAACATAATATGGTTCGGGTACAGGAACCTTAACTTCATAGGGCACCTTCTTTTCCACTGTATAAGGTATGTGCTTCGTAACCGTATACGGTACAGGAACCTTCTTTTCAATGGTAACAGTCTTAACATGTTCATGGTGGCCGCTGTGACCGTAGTCACCGAAACTGTGTAATCCACGTTTCTCAAGCTGTTTACTATCATCGTCTTTGGTCACCGAATTCGATTCTTCACTGCAACTGACCATTGCCACGCACAAAGCGAGACAAGGAAAAACAAACTGCAAAAAAAAAAAACAAAAACAATAAATAAATAAATAAATAAACAAAAATTTTATACAATTTTTTATATTTTTTTTTTTTTTTGTCAAATTCGTGTGAATATAATTGAACTTACCATGCGCATGGTTGAGCTGTTGGTTTTCTGAGATTAAAGAGGAAAAACTATTGCACTAAGTAATGTTTCGTCTTAAACGAGATCCAAATTGTTACTAATGCCTGCAACTCCCAACATCGCGCTTATATACAGCGCACAACTGCCTAACAGCGGCACAAGCCGACATATACATATTTACGTTTGATGCAGTGTGAATGCGTCGTCTTCATCACTAGAAAGAGCCAACAAGTTATTCGGCCAAACTCGGTTGGTAAAACGTCTGGCTTATTGGCAATACGGACGGCATACGATTCCGTGAATACACTACTACTGCTGCCGTCGCTATTGCTGTTGATAATGATGATTATGTCGGCAAACCTGAAAGTAGCAATCATCACACATTTACACAGACACACATCAGATATAGCTTCCTAATTTACGTACACACATACTTGTAATCGTAATCGTATGCTTTGCCGAGCTAAGTCAAACGGGAACGATAGCTTACGCCACACTTTATAGCTGTCTTTGCCTATGATAGCTGTTACAGTTATTATTGCTTTTGTATATTATAACGTTTAAAATTATTCAACACAGTTGTAGAAATTGTAACGGTGATTAACGTACGATCAAATACATTGCCGGCTATCACATAAAACGGCCAAGTATCTCGGTTGTGACAATCCCACCGCCAAACAATTAGGAAGTGTTAGATAATATTGATGAGTTTGCGACGAAAGTCTACAAGCCTCAATCACTTAAGCATTCCGGAAATGGCGCAAATGGAATTTGTCTCTAGAAAGCCCTTATGAACATATACGTAATAAAACTTGGACCCTAGGGAAAGAAAATTTTGTCCAACTAATGTCGTGACCATTAAATTTAAAGCAATAGTCTTTCCTGACGTCTCCCTGCAAGAATTAGTTTTAACCCTAATTGGACCATGTTGAGCCTTTGAGGCTCATTTGAAGTTTTTGTTTGCGAATATCTCGCTTAACTCATTTTGAATTTTCAAAGACTGTATGGCCTTTACAAAAGAATTTTCGCAAAAGAGACTAAGAGGCACATCGTGGTAACATTTGTCGTAAAATCACATTGTCCGCTTAGTATTCGTACAAATGACTGAATATGGTTATAACCAAACCAGGCAGACACAGATATTCCCGAATTTACAATTAACCAGTTAACTGTGTCGACCATTTTAGCTTTGACGAGTATACTCGTCAAGCGCCGAGCATGCGTAATAATATGAAATTAGGTTGTAATTAAACGACTTGATAAATTAGCAAAAATATTTTCTAAAGTACATTATTATGATAAAATTTGATGAGGAAATCCGACATGGACGAATTGAGGGATCATGACGTATACACTCGTCATACACAGTTAACTTGTTAATTGTCTTTTTCTGGTGTCATTAGTACTACATTTCTATGTTGGTCTGTATTTTTCTTTAGATTACATCTTTATGCTCCAATCAATGATCATTAGTATGAGCACTGACTATAAATGTGACGTTTTACTTTCTTTACGCTTTTTACAAAGGTAGCCACTTTCTCTCTCTCTCTCTCTCTCTCTCTCTCTATTTAACTCTCTTAGGGAATTAGAGCTTTTGTACAACTTGATGATAGATTATACCGCAAGGCATGTATCCCCAATTAAAAGAAGTTTGTTCCGGTGTAATGAATACGAAGACGGAAATGTTTACTTTACGCACAAATGCACATCCCGACTTTACACAATTTCGGTATTTAACACATCAAAATGTGTATTAGGTTGCTTTACGTGCTAATCGACACATCAAAAAATATTAATTCGCGTTACGTGGCACACGTTAAATACCTGTTTACATATTCAAGTAAGAGACTAATAGCAAGTACGTACTGTATATTCCCATGTCTTGTATAGTAGGTGCCCTTCTAGAGTAAGTACTTAGTGTACCTTTTCATCTCGTAACTCCGTAAACGTAACGTTTCCCATCTCGTAAACCATCGGTAATTTGCGATACGAAATTCATATCGCCTTCGGGTATCGTATAAGAAATAAGCAATGATTATTTCTGGGTTGTAAAATGACTCTTTACTTCTCAACTATAGTGATCTATATAAGAATGAAGCGAAGAGCGCTTGCATTTATTTATTGCTACAAAGAAATTATTAAAGACTTATGTGTCTTACTTGATATCAATTATGGTTAGATTTTTAATTGATTATACTTTATGATCGCTAAGAAACTCGTATTCGCTTTGGTTGGACTCTTGTTTATCAACCGCATCCAGCAAAAGCGAAAAAACCAAAAATTACACTTAATTAACAAAATTTTGCGAAATCGAAAGCAATTTTGAAAGCAATTCTTTACCTGAATATGGAAATGAGTTAATTATTTCGTTACCATTCGTCACTTCATTTAAAAATCGTGAATCATTTAGAATTTTGTGAAGTGATTTGTTCGTTTATTTTAAGAAGCAAAAGCGATGGAGATAAGATATTGAAACTTTTGCTTACATCGCTTAAGATTTTATTATAGTTTTATGTATCGCATGGACAGTCAACCTTAAACTTACAGGTTGAATGACAGACAAGTGTGTGTTAAACAGTTTTGATTTTATCGATTTTTTTTTAATTTTTATTTTTTTTTTTATATGTAAAATCTAATAATAGCATCACTTGTTAAAAATTCGAACATTAGCCAATGTTATGGTGGGATAAGCGAAGCTATAGTTATTTCACAAAATGTTCTCAATACTTTTTAAATATCATGCTGGTGCGTTCGAATGTAGTCGGGGATTCACCAAGAATTTAGATCGGATCTGTGGCGGTTCGTAGTAGATCCAAGTCTCAGCGATGATCAGCATATGCGTCTAATAAATAATTTCACCTCGGATCACACTCATCCAGAACCGATTGAGTGTCAGCAACCCTTTCTCCGCCTTTGCTCATCAGAGAGTAAGTGGAGCATCCATTTTGATCGCTGATGGCAAACTCCTACTCGAAAACACAAAAAGGCAGGGGAAAGTCGTTATTAAGGTTCACTTTTCCTGCACTTTGACACATCGGCCCTGAGTTTGAGGCCAATAAGTGGAAAGCCGCTTCGGAATTTGAACTACAGACACTACGATCGACTGAATCGATCTCCATTGCATTTAGTTGGTAAGGCTTGCCAAGCCTAACGCAAGCTATCCATTGCAACTAATATCAATAAGGCCTATTACGCACTCTTTTGCTCGATTAAGGAATGTCTGCCCCAGGTTTCATTTTGATGTGATGGGTTAAACTGACCCATTTTTGTTGGAAAATGGGATGAATACTTTATGTATGCAAACCCTTGGTGATTCTAGGGTTACAATAGCATAATGGTTGATCCATTCACATAGGAAATGTTACATGGTCTGTAAGAGTGACTTTTAATCAAAAGAAAAATGCAATCAACTCTCATCGAATAACTGAAGAGAGAGAGCAAATAATTTTGTAGAAACAGTTCGCTTCTCTTTTAAATCCTCTGACATAAAAGCGAACCCAATCGTTCCCTACTACTATTGTACGCATCACATAGAAGTCAATTTTTTTTTTTTTTTTTTTTTTTTTTGAGGTACAACATAACAAAAAATTAAAAACCTAACATCTTTGGAAGTTCTTGCGACGAATACTTGCGTTTTATCTATAGCTTATATAATTTTCTCATTCAATACAAGGCCTAAATGGGAGTTATTTCTCTCTCTGTGTTCTTCCTTTTCGTTCTTTAACATATCAAAAGACGTTTTATTCTTTCCTACCTAATACTTTATGAATTCAAGTTTAGTTTTTTTTGCTATTGCATAATGACTGTGACAATTAGTCTGAAAACTCTTTGAGTTACCAATAAGACAGATTAATCGCTGCCGGTGCCGCTGCCGCTGCCATCAAAATTAATGACAGTCAATGAAAGATTCACATCATCAAGTGTATCTAAGTGGAGACCATGGCTTCCGCTTGAATGTGTTAATGTAACAATAATTACATTAATATAATTAAGATCAAATAAAAAATATCTACAATTGTGTGTGTATTGTTTATACTCACTGCTGCCGTGGGAGGTATGTTCCGTTCAATATTTCATTTGGAAAGTGGTTCACTCAAAGTTGGTATTCTCCCGCGAGGTGCCGCCACATCGTTAAGTAGTTAAGTAATTAAGAAGTGCGACTCTCAACTATCGGCCTATCCGGATACAATCCTCCTTGCGGTAAATCAATACAATAGATGCGCTGCCGTCACTATATAATGAGCCTTTGATAGATAAAAGTGTAACATTTGCTGATCGGGCGAACACTTAAAAGTTGCTTAATCACTCCCGATCCCTTTCTCTCCTCTCCTTTCTGATCATCATTGTAACACACAGACAGTTCTTTTTTTTACTGAACATTCCCGCAGATCAGATTAGAATTAAATGCAACAATCATCGATTTTAAAATGGAGGGAAAATAATACCCTCAGTGTCGTCAAAGGGTTAATTAATCGGTACTTTGAAAAGATCAAAGATTGATAGATTTTTTAATGCAATCGTATCCGACGTCATTTGAGGTACAAGGGTATATTAAATTTGTGCGGAAGTAATCAACTACCCAAGTGGACTTGAAATAGACCCATCTTTTATTATGCTGATTCGAATTAAACTTGTCAGTCCGTGTGTCTGCCTTGTTTTCTAGCGTTGAATCAAATCCCAGAAGGACTTCATATAGATGATCTTTTATTAAACTGATCGATTTAGAATCACTTTTTGCATCGATCTTAGCTTGTCTATCTGTCCGTCTCTCTTATTATCTGATGTTTAACGTATAGGCCGAAATTTTTGAAATATGCTGCACGGAGGTGTTTTAACCCAAGAACGAAAACTATTGAAAATTTTTGGGATCGAACCACTTTTTTGACCATTTTCCATGTAACATCTTATTTGGAATGGTTTAGGTGTATTTGATGATGGCTCTTCTTCAAACAAAATTCAAAAGTTTCAGCTCAATTAAATTTTGATTATAAACGAAAGCTGCCAACGGTTTACATTACATTACATTTAAGAATATTTCTATCAGTAGGGATTACAATTTTAGTGAGGCTCTCTCCACAGACCTTCATGCGGCGAAGTTGAGCACATATGCAATTGGTGCTTACGCAAGG